CAAAAAATAACTTATTTATTTTGAAATCAATTTGCACTCTTGGTTTTGGTACTCGACAATATTTAAATAACTCGCTATGTAGCTTACTATATTGTTTTTTTTTTCTAAAAAATGCGACATAGGATTATATATTTAGTGTTTTTTTCAAAAAGCTTACTTGAAATGCTAAAATAACATTATTTTTTATGCTATTTTGCGCTATTTTTTGTAAAGACATTTAAACAATAAAATATTTAAAGAACTTGTATTTTGTAGGGATTAGAGATATTTTTAAATGATAACTAAAAGCTAAAAATTCTGATAATGATTTCAACTTAAAAGTTTGAAAATGCAAAGTCCTGAGTTGAATAATGCAATATATATCGATCCAGGTTAATTATATTATATTTTTTGGTATTTGATATTTAAATTTAAGAATGAAAAGTTTGGATCTAGTTATTAGAGTTAAATTGTAATTAAATTTAAAAAACTTTACAATATATATGCTTGAAATTAAATTATAATTTATCTTATTATATTTTCGTTGTTTGTTTTTTCGGTATATTCGCTTTATTATTTAAATATTTATATTATGATATCTATATAAAACATTTGTGAGAAATTATTCTTAGATGTTATTTTGAGTTCATTCAAATGTTATGATAATTTTAGAATCAACCACCCAGTTTTATTATATCTAAGTATATATATATATATATATATATATATATATAGAAAGACGATATTGAACGCCCGAAAAGTTGTGTGATTGGACATATCTATTTTCTTTGGGATCTTGTTAGCCTATGAACGGCTTACCGCAGAGACTCTCCATTACCTCAAATAAGACAAGCAACGACCACCTATTTGTGTCTGAGCTGAGGTCAAATGAGAAGCATAATGCTGATCCGCAACCTATTTAAAGACGCGGTCTGATTTAATGTCGATAGGTATTCGACGGATAGCTTTCGCTAATCAATCATGGATAGGTATTAACAATCTTTGTTTTTCGTAGTTACCACAACAAATATTCTTCTCTATTACATATCCTGCTATAGAATAACCTAGTCTATCCGTCGTGGGTGGTACTCCTAGATCCTAGCGAGTTGGCGAAAGCACTTCCGATTTGAGGCCTGACTCGAGTTTCAGAACTCAAGCTCCTACCTTTAGAACTCATCAACAGCTATCGAACTCTTAGCTACTGAGATACAAGTAGATAAAACGCTCTTTGGCTATTCTTTCTTGGATTACTTCTTAGTTTGTTTTATCTCAAGTGTTGATCTAAAAGTAGTTGATTATATATAATATTTCCATAAAATAACTTTTTATACACAAATAGCTTGGGCAACACACAACGCTATTTACGCTACGCAATATAAACACTAAAACGCAACGCACTACACTACACGCGTTTTAAAACACTGGTACTCAATAATAAAGCAAATTCAAAAAAAAAAATATACTGCCTCCTATTTTTTTAAATGTCATTTTGACTTTATCAACAATTAACTAAATAAATGACGAATTAGATTATTTGTACATATTTTTCTATTATTACCCTCATCTAGCTAATAAATACACCACGTCTTTTCATATTCAATCTTCAACTTTTCAAAACATACATCTATATCCTCATTAATGAGAGTTATTTTTGACAAAAAAAAATTTAATTACAGTGTGACTTATTAAAACGACACTTATTAAAAATAAACGGGAATAATATACTAATTTTCATAACCCTAGTCTCCAATGTATTCGAGCCGACTTGCATGCTCTTCAAAAAAGACATGAGATCTAATTTTAATAATATTTAGCACATTTTTGTCAGAGTCCCAAGGACCCAAACGCTCCTCCCTATATTTTAACAGTAATTATACAGTTATCTTTTGCTTTTAAAATATTTCAAATTCATTACTATGGCCGCCTTGTAACAGTAGTTGTCTCCCACCCACCAATTATAGATCCACCGTAATTTAAGTTTTGGCCTGTGATTATTTTGTGCCAATGTACTACAAATATCAATCAAATTAATAAAAAATAAAATAAAAATAGTATTATAGCTCATCTTTAATCAAAATCGTTTTTTAAGATAACGGTCAATTGTATCAATCAAATTAATAAAAAAAAAAAATAGAAATAGTATTATAGCTCATCTTTAATCAAAATCGTTTTTTGAGATAACGGTCAATTGCATAAAAAAAAAAACCCTTTTGTTTATGTAAATAAAATTCTAACTTTTTTAAATTGGCAAAAAAAATATCAAACTTTTATTATGTGTTGTAATTTTGTCTTATTCGCCGGCTAATTTCACCGGATATTGAAAATTTTTACATGAACTTGTAGATCTCTTTCGTGCCGATAATATATCCAAGTTTCACAAAAAAATTCTGACGAAAAGGCTTCTAATTTCCGGTCAAAGGTCGTAGATCTACAAATTTTCTACGTCCTTTGACCGAAAAATTGGAAGTCTATCTTCGAAATTTTGTCGTGAAACTCGGATGTGTTGTCGGCACGGATGAGAGCTACAAAATCATGTAAAAATTTTCAATATCCGGCGAAGTTGGCCAGCGGCGGTTGGCGGCGGTCCGACGGGTGAGACAAAATTGCAACACTTAATAAAAGTTTGGTATTTTTTTGCCAAATTGAAAAAGTTAAGTTTTATTTGCAATTAAACAAAAAAGTTAGAATTTTTTATGCAATTAACCCTTAGATAATGCTAAGGTCCTGTTACTGAACCATTCCGTCGAGATTTATAATCGTTAGATCATCATGTAACTACCAGAAATAATTGATTTAACCTTTATAAATCCCGACAAAATAATTTCATAACGAACTGTAACATCGTCCCTCTTTTTGTGTGGGTATATAAATTTTGTAAAGCCCTACCATCTATATATATATAATTGCTAGCATGTAGCATTTAATAAAACCTATTTAATAAAATCTCTAACATTTTTCCCTCCATTTTCGGTTACAAATTTAACATTAATAATTTTTACTTCTCACATTAATACATCATATTAAGTGTAATAATGTATTTTTTTCTATTATATTATATAATAGTTATTACTAATACCAATTAATAATAATTCACAATAAATATAAATTACCTAATTATAAACAATTGTTTCAAGTTATTTATATTAACATCAATATTATCTTTTTCTTTTGTATCTCATGAAAAAATTTCTTTAAAAATAATAAGTAAATTGTTTTAATAACATAGTCAAACAACTTTAGAATCTTATAAAAAAATTTTTTCTTAATAATAATAATAATAATAATAATAATAATAATGTTAATAAATAATCAAACTATTATTATATATTGATAATAAATAACTGTTCATAATAATAAAATCGTTAATTTATTTTTCCTAAAATCAAATTTTTTAAAATGTAATATGTTCATTATCTAGAATTTTAATATTAAATTCTCAAATATTACTCAGAATATTTTATGTACATCTGTGCATTTGCACATGATATCTATTAGTATATATAATTGCTGGCTAATAGCATTTAATAAAACATTTAATAAAACCTCAATTCCATTTCCCTCCAAAAACCGTTACAAACTTTATCATTTATATCTCTCTCTCTATATATATATATTTTTAATTACTAATAATAAATTTAATAATATTGATTATTGTTTACCACCATTTTATGTTACAATCTTCTATTATTATTATTATTATTATTATTATTATTATTATTATTATTATTATTATTATTAATAATAATCCACCATATCTAACTAATGCTAAACTATTTCATTGCACTTTTTTAGGATTAATTAAGACAAAAACCGTTACATTTTATATTAACAAAGTAATAATTACACTTTTATTATATCATATAATAGTTATTATTAAAGCTAATAACTATTGTTTAAACTAAATGATATATGAAAGTTATATAAACATACAAAATTATTGTAAACTTTTTGCTGAAGTAATTTATTCTAAAATTAGTATTATATTTTTGTATCTTATTTAGCGATTGTATTTTTATATAAGTTAATTTATTTTAATCTTATAGTAACTTTCCTTAAAATCGCATAATGAAATGTTATAATAAATTTAATATTTTTAAGCTAATAAATTTGCGATCTCTCAAAATTACATTACTTATTATATTTTATATAATTAATATAGCGGTTCATATGCAATCAAATAGTTATGTACTATTTATTTTAATCAATGATCAAATTTTAAAACATAATATCATTATCTAATTTATTATATGCATAAATATAACTTATAATACTCTATGTTTAAAATATAATATCATTGTATACTTATAATTTTAATACTATATGCATAAATTTAAGTTATAATATTTTATTTACAGTGTACAAATGCACAGGGTCGAATACTAGTACCTACCTTCTTCCCTCCTCTGTCCAAGAAGACTCAAACCTTTCTTTTCGTCACTGATTCTATTTCTTTATCTTTCTTTATTTATCGTCTTTCTTTATTTATCGTCTTTACTCTTCGTTTGTTCCTGTCTTAAATTGCCGAAGCTTTTGCTCTTTGCTACAGATTTATGTAGAATTTCTTATATGTCCCCTTAAAAAATTTACTAATTTTGCTCTATTATAAAAGAACACAGTTTTGCTATGGAGCCATCGGATGGCTCGGCTTATGGAGCCATCCACAATTATTCACAAATAGTGTATTGACACGTGTCCTACAATAAATGCACTTTGGACAAGTGTCAATACACTAAGTCATGGATGGCTCCATAAGAAAACCATCCGATGGCTCCATAGAATTTTTGTAAAAGAACAAGTCAAATCATTATCTCCTCGTTTACCGGATCTTAGCTTAGAACCAATAAATAAATTTAAATAATTAAACGTTTCATTTTCCTTTCTTTTTTTTTCTGATTTTTTTTTATTTTTATTTTTTTTATATAATTTAACTTGCATCTTCTCAGATCTCCATCTTCTTCTTCTCTTCTCAACAATTTTTTCCCCTTAATTTAATGATTTTTGGTGTCGAGATTAATGAAAAAATGAAGCACTGCGCGATTAAACAGACGAACAGTTTCGGCGGCAGATCTGTGGATAAGAGAGAGACGGTGGTTTGCCCTAAGCCACGGCGGCTCAGCCTTGCCCACGCCGCCCTTGACCCTTCTTTGGCTAGGCCCTTACGCCGGCAGATGAGGTTAATTTTTCACTCTACTTTTTAATTTAGTTTTTTTTTTATTTTTTTAAAGTTTCGATTTTTATTAATTTTCTTTTTTGTTTCGAAAATTCTTAATAGCCATCAGAAAGAGTTTGATTGTGACTCAAGAGCTGGAAACGAATTACTGGACATAATACTTGCCAAGGTTTGTTTTTATTTCACTTCCTTGCCTTCTTTGCTTTCTTTGCTTTCTTTTTAATCGAATTTGAGCCATGGTGTGAATTTTTTATTTTTTATTTTAGATTTTTAAAGACTATATAAAACTTTAGAAATGTTTTAATTTAGACATTTTTTTTTTTTTTTTGAGATTTTAAAGTTTTAAAATTTTGGTATTTTAGTTATTTGAGAGTGACATTTGTTAAGATTTTTTAAAATTTTTTGGATCGTGCTTGTTTATTAAAAAACTAGAAAAAAAAAAATCTCTGGTTTTTTGTGTTAATTGGAGTTTACTTGAAAAAAAAAAGTTAGTATGGTATGTTGGTAGTGGATTTTTAAGAATATATTTAAATAATAGTTTGAAGTAAAATAATTAAAATTGATTTGACGTAAAAATATGAGATAAATGATTTAGAATGATAGTTTATTAAAACTCACACAGATAAATAATTTAATGATATTATTTAATTATATTGATAATATTAAAGATAACAAGATTGAATTAAAATTGAGTTAGATTTTGAATTCTGATATACTTTTTTTCTAGAAATTTGATAAACATGCGCTACCTTGATATTTCGGAAGAACTTTTAGAGGATGTATTTGATCGAGATTTTAAGACTTCATAATATTTTAGAAAAATGTATTTAGCTTAAATTTTTTAGGAGTGTTAAAAGAGTTGAGAACTTAGATTTTTTAGAAGTGTTAAAAGAGTTGAGAGAGATTACTAAAAGGTGTAAGATATTTAACTTATTTGAGATTATATTTATTAAATCATTTTAGATTTGTTGGGATTGCAATAGACTATATATTAATTCAAAGCATGTTGAGCTTAAGTGACAGGCTCTCATACTTCGGGATCCTATGCATGTTGAGCCTAAGTGGCAGACTCTCTAATGCTTCGAGATCATATGTGGCAAAATTACATGCTTTGTTATTATATTTGAGTTTATTTTCAATCCAAAAATAATTAGGTCCGGAATATCCATAAATATGTTGATTATTTATGATCATGTTACATGTATTATTTGTATTTTATTATCATTTGTTATTATAACCATTGGATTGTAAATGTATTTTAAAAGTTGATAACTTTTATATTTTCTTATCAGTGTAACATATATAATATATCGAATTAATCATTTTTTGATGAGTTTCGATTTAACATCCATATTGTATATATAGAAATATAAATTATTCATCGATTAATATATCTATTTACAAGTAGTTATATGATATAAATTATAAATTACTATACTATAACACATGTAAGTCGCACGAGTAACAAGTGTCATTCTAAAATATATAATAATATATATTTTTGCAAAAAATTAAATAAAATTTTAAAATAATTTTTTTCATTAATTTTAAAATTTAAGAAAATAATTTTTCAACAAGTAGCTAGTACACAATGTTGTACTAGTGAAATCTTATTTCAAATCTCACTCACTCAAACTTTAACATTTAGTGGGTCCTCATATAAAATATTTGGTTACGATGACCAAATATTTTTTTTTACTTAATATTCAATTTAAAATGAAGTTAGCTTAACTATTTTTAATATTATTAGTATAATTAAATAGTATTAATTAATTCTCACACATCACATTAATTTTATTTTATTATTAACCACTTTTATGATTTAACTATCAATCACCTCTCTCCTACTTTTCTATCGTATTAACTTTAGTCATTATATTTGAAATATTATTTAAATACAAATTAAAAATATTACTCAAATCAAAATGTAGTCATCTTTTTTATTTATTTTTTAGTAAATCTAATTGAATACAAATAACTTATATCTAATCATGTTCTTAGGATTTTTTATTTTTTTTTTTTAAAAAAAAATGATAATCTTAAAAAATTATAATCTAAAAAAGTTTAGAAAGCTGTCTCCTAAATTTAAATCTTAATTTTTTTTCAAAATTTTAAAATAAAACCCAGTAATTTGGATATAAACTTAAAAAAAAATTAGTCAAAATTCAAATGTAACTAAACTTTAATCCAACCCACTATTTTTAATACTATCAATATAATTAAATAATATCAACTAATCATTATTACACATTACGTCAATTTTAATTCATTATTCAGTCACTCGGATAATTCTAATTAACCGTCATTTTCAATCAATTTTCTTCTACTTTTATATTAAATCGACTTCATTACTTAAATTTTCACTAGCAATTAATTATACCAATTTTTTTTTAAAAAAAATTAACTATAATTAATAAAAAAAACTAATAAAAAAATACTTAATTCCGTTTCCAATCACACCCCAACATCCAAATGAAAATACCTTATACTATTTTATATGACATTTAATGTTTGGAATGTATGAATTAGATGGGCCAATGAATTTGTGTGACTATGGGACACTGACTTGCCTATTAAAATTAAATCAGAAAAAAAAAAAAAAACAACCGACACGCTTTAATTCTCACTTAACAAACTTCATGAGCTGGACACTGCACACATCACACAAATTTTGTGGCCTCAAAATGAAAAATCGTATAATCACTCCTTCACCCACTCAAATAATTTCCATAATCGTCCCACGATGTCTATCTCATATTGCATCTAACCACAACTCTCGTGTAAACCATAATTTTGTTTCAGGGCAACCATGGTAGTTCAGAACACCCGCAGATTGCCTCGTCTCCTCCCTTCTTTTCCGGGTCGCCGCCAGGCCGAGTATCTAACCCTCTAATCCAGGACGCTCGATTTGTGGACGATAATTACTTTCCGGTTGGCCCCACTCTACAATCCCCCTCGTCCAAACAAAAGGGCGGTTGTGTCGTGAGGGCAAGTTTTGGTAAAAATCCAGCCGTTAGGGTGGAGGGTTTTGACTGCCTCGATAGGGACGGGCGCAATTGCACTATCCCAACCTTTGCCTAAAAGGAGTATATATTATAAACGAAACATACAGAGTCAATCGAGCGATCATGACCGTCCTTTTTCTTTCCGTTTTGTCAAAGTAAGATGAAGAGAAACTTGAGTTTTGATCGGTTTTGGTCCTAGTGTAAATAAGCAATGAGTTTTTTTTTTTTGGAAAAAAAAAGAACATGCAAGTGTCTTTATTTTTTTTGGGAAGTAGCAAGTGTCTTGTAAATTTTTTAAAAAGTGAGATGGAAGTTGTGATGTAAGTATTGAGTGTCTAAATTTCACAAATAATGTGTTAGGGAAGTTCTCGTCTCTTTTGCATTTGTGTAACTATAGTGATGAGAGGAGGGGGCAATTTTATTTAGTTTTGCTGGTTTAGAGATTTTGAAAAGGGACTCCAATGTAACGCATAAAAGAAACATGTACATATAGTTGAAAATGTTTATGTTGCGTTTTATTAAGAATGTCGAACGATGTGCATATTCGAATTAAAAATATTCAATTCTAGCGCATGGGAATCAATGTAATTGGACGAACAGTTCTTAGATGTTCTTCACACTAAATTTCTTGTTGCCTCACATTGTCGTGCATGCTAGACGTCATTGAGTGGTTGTCGTGAAACATCGGGTCGCGTTGCGTGGATCGTCACGCAGCTACTGCTGATTGCCAAGATGGGCCGTGTGCTTGTTGCTGTCGAATGCTTTGCCACATGCCTTGTTTGTGGTGGTCGGGGCTACCGCTTATGGTGGCTTCGAGACGTGAGTTGGCGATAAATATATTCGCCAGGATATGAACAGACAATCTTAGTGTCTTCTATTATATATCCGTTCACCTTCTCTAATTTTTCGTGGTAGACAACTTGTTAGATCTCTGAATCTCTCACACAACTCACGAATTTTATCTCTTATGCTCTCGATATTCCTCAATTTCTTGAACAATGATTTTGAGCCCTCACGTGAATTGATGAGTCTTGAAGGCTTAGGACTTAGATGTATATATAAGCTACAATAGAGATTCTAAGAATGTGTTAATTATGTATGGTTCCAACTGTGAGCCTGACCCACTCCATTCATACTTGAGTAATATTTCATTGCACTAAAGAAATATTAGTGAACTCCCCATATAGCCCACGAGTTACAATTAATTCGTCTTTTGACTAATTGCCTGAGTTATCTCCCTATTTTTAAAATGTCATGTCTGTTTATTAATTTGATTACTAATAATATAATTAATTATCTTGTTGAACAGAAATTAGTACTACTATATCTTAATTATTATGCCGGAAATTATAATATTCTTCTTGAGCTCATTTCGAAACGCCATCAGCCGGTGGACCGAGATGCAGTGGCCGTAAACAATTTCCACAGCACATCATATAATCTAAATTATTTACCACTATGAAGTCTATCGAACGAACAGAATAAGTCTTGTCCTTCGCAAATTAAATAAATAATAAATGTACATTTTCCAGTTTATTGTCTTACAAGTTAAGAGAAAGAACAATTACTAGGGTCTAGATTATTTACTTGGTTAGTATAAAATAATATTATCCTCTTATAAGTCCGTTCAATACATCCGAGATGACTAGTGTAATTCGTTAGCCAAAGATTAAAAAATAAATAAATAAAAAATAAACTCAAAAATCACACTACAACCTTTCACAACCGTTAGTTCAATTATGTTTGGGTTGTGAACAAATATTCATATCTTACACGAAACCAATAATATGATCTTTTTGTTTAACACATTGAACCATATTATTTACAATATAAAATAAAGAAATAATGTTCGCATAAATAAATAAATTGCAAACATTCACTTGACTAAAATATGAATTATATTAAAAACGGCATTGTCAGAAACTGAAAGCCGAGCTTTAATAGTATATCCTAACAATCTCCCACTTATACTCAATAAAGATTTCGACTATACTATGTATATACTCTTTGAATCTAATTCTCAAAGAATGGTCTAACTAGTCGCCATATGTCTGACTCACATTTCTTCTACGTATCTCTCAAAGACTTTTTCAGGTAAACTCTTCGTAAAGGATCTCTCTGGTTTTCCTCTAATGCATTCTTGTCAATAATGGTTTCCCCTCGTCTAACGATCTCTCGTATCAGGTGGTAATAGAAGACAGGCGTAGGGCAAAGATCTCAGGTATACGGGTAACGCGTGTACATCTGTCTTTGAGGACTTCCCTTGATTAATAGGACAAGACCAGTAAGACAAGATCGTTATTCAAAGACGACAGGAGAAAGTGTTGATTTAGAAAACAACAATCAATCAACGCGGTACGTAACTTATGCGAACAATATGCGAAACACTTTTGATTTTGATATGCGGTGCAGACAATGTGTTTATTCGTCTTGTGAGTCTGTGGTTCCTTCGAGTTTGTTACTGCTCTATTGTTATCACACAAAAACCGTGATCTCTGCTGGCAAACTCGGCACCACGTCAAGGTCGAACAAGAAGTTCCTAAGTCAAACCGCTTCCTTCGCTAACTCTGAGGCCGCGACGTAGTTGACTTCCATGGGGGATTTCGCTATGCATTTCCGTTTGACACTCCACCAAACTATGAATCCACATCACTGAGTAACCACAACCCCGAGGTGGATTTACTTTCATCCATGTCTTACTGGAAATCAGAACTAGTGTAACCCAACATGAGCAGCTCGTCCGCATGGTAAGGTATCATATAATCCTTTGTCCTTCTCACGTACTTTATTGTATGCTTCGTAGGAGCCCAGTGCTCTAGTGATTACTTTGATATATGACTACCATGCCCATGACATAACATATATTACGACGTGTGCACAATATCACATTATCGAGACTTCCTACCGTCGATAGATAAAGAACCTCCTTCATGTCCAATATCTCCTGATGCGTCTTGGGAGACATCCCTTTAGATAGAGGGATTTCATGTCGAAAAGGTAATAACCCTCTTTTGGATTCCTGCAAGCTGAACTGGGCAAAGACAGTATCTATGTACGAGGACGGGGATAAGCACAACATTATCTTCTCGCGGTGCCTAATCACCTTAATCCCGAAAATGTGTCCTGGTACTCCAAAATCCTTCATTTCAAACTGCTTGAACAACCATACCTATATGTATGAAAACGTCTTTACATTGTGTCTAATGAGAAAAATATTATTTATGTATAGCACAAGAAACACCACTACGTTTCTGTCACTTTTCTTGTACACACAATGTTCATACGGACAAATGAGTAAATCCATATGACTAGACAACCCGCCAAAACGAGTGTTTCAAGACCACGAAGCTTACTTCGGTCCATAAATTGACTGATTAATCTTACATACTAGATGCTTTGCGACAGACCCTTCTAATGGTTGCATATACATGTCCTCATCTTGATTCCCATTAAGGAAATATGTCTTGATATCTACCTATCAAATCTCATAATCAATATGAGCGACTACAACCTAGAGAATCCTGATGGACTTAAGCATGACTTTCGACAAAAAGGTTTCTTCATAATTGATTTCTCTTTATGAGTGTGATCCTTCGCAAAAGTCAAGCCTTGAAAGTCTCAACCCTCTCATATGATCTCTCTCTCTCTGTTATAAACCCACTTGAATCCAATGGCGCGAACACCACTAGGTGGTTCTACAAGATCTCAAACCTCATTGAAGTCTATTGGCTCGATTTCTATCCTTCATCGCATTTTGCCAAGACTTTGCATCCCAATATTAGAATGCCTCATCGTAAGGCCATGGGTCGACTTCAATTACATTCGAGACTGAGTCCGAAGACTCTCCCAAAAAACATGAATTGATCCGACTTTCTAACAACCCTCCCACTACGATAAGGTAATACCAGCTCCGGTGCATCGTCAATGACACATGGTGTAGTATCTTGTGGTTTATCATAAGTCCTCTAGGACATGTCTACTAGTGGCCTTGTGGTCCATCAAATAGTCTTTTTTCCAAGAACCGAGCATTCGTGCTAACGATCACTCTCTGGTCGTTTGGACAATTGAATAGACCACCCGTCATTCCCATGGGATAACCCACAACAGCCTCACTTCCAAACATAGTTCCAACTTATCAACATTTGCCCTCAACACATTTAGTGGACTTATCCCATATGAGAATATGTCTTAGACTATGCTTGTGTTCGATCCACAATTTAGTGGACATAGTTAACAATGGTTTAGAAGGTACCAAGTTCATAATGTGAGCTATTGTTTATAGTGCGTGTCCCTAGAATGAATTCAGTAACTCATTATAACTTATCATAACTAGTGCTAGTAAATTAAACGAGCCTGGCTCCGCTCGGCTCGAGTTTGGCTTGAGTTCGAGCCTTAATGAGCTGAACTCGAGCTCATTTAAAGCTCGTTTGGCTAACGAAGCGAGCTCGGTTCGGCTCGATAAGGCTCGAAAATTTAATATTTATATAATTTTTTATAGTTCGGCTCGTTAAAGCTCGAGCTCGATGCCTTAACGAGCTCGATCTCGATTTTAGACTCGTTTATCTAACGAGCTGAGCTCGGCTCTTTTACAGCCCTAATCATAGCCGTAATCATTTCCATAAGAGTCATATTCCTCTGTTCTGCTACGCCATTCTGTTGGGGCATACCCGATTCACATAACTGGGACTCAATCCCATTCTCCGATAAGTAGTCCTTAAACTCCCATAAAAGGTACTCGTCACTGCAGTCTGATCGCAACGACTTGATACTTTTACTAAGTTGCTTCTCCACAACTGTCTTATACTCAAAGAATTTCTCGAAGCATTCTGTACAACAAGTAAATGTATTCATTTCTGGAGTAATCATCAATGAAGGTGACAGAATACTGACACCCCCTCTCCCCTGAATAGACATAGGACCACCAAAATTGGAAGAACCAGTTCAAACAATGTTTGTTAAAATTAGTGGATAATTGTGTTAGTAAATTTATGTTATATTATGTTTGTGTTGTTTTCATGTTGGTTCTTGCTTCTTGGTACATAGGGTTTATGATTTAAGTCGTTTGATTCATGTTTA